TGTATAATATATTAAATTTCTGACTTTATATGCCTGTAATTATTACACACTGTAGCTTTAAGTAACTTTTAGCAAAAAGGCACCTTTATAATGTTATCATGAGGTGTTGCTGCTTTTATTTGAGTAAAATCTGTGGCTAATTTACTGACTCTGAGTAACTTTACTTATTTAATTTAAAATGTACCAGACACAGACAAATAGTTAAAGTTTTACTAAAATTAATATTTATTTTTATTCTTTGTTGTTCTGTTACTTTTATCTGCTGAGACCTATATTATACAGCACAAAGTAGCCTATATGTTGTCACAGGAGGAAGTTTACCCTGATCTATCAAACATTCACTATATACTGCAAGGAAAGGCTAAAAATAGGCCTTTATATGTCAAAGAATTGTATTTCAAGAAGTGTTTACTATTTCTGAGTTTATTTCAGTTATTTTTATTTTTGTATTTATAATTTGTATGTGTATCATTAAGTTTTATTCCTCAAAACAAAGGATATGTTCACATACTGTATATTGATCTGCATGATTACATAATTTTAAATAGTAAAATAGTTACTCAGCACTCAAGTGGCCTTTTGACCAAATACCTTTTTACTCTTGTGTCATTTCTTTAACAGCTACCCTTTACTTTCATTCAAGTAGAAATATGTTGAATTGGTGCTTATTTTACTTTACTTCACCTTCTTTTGGATAAAGGTAATAAAAACTTGGATGCTTTTGAAAAGGGAGGGGGCGGTGCTTTCTCTTATAATAATATTTGATGATCAATTATCAAGTCCTCCATGTAATATTTTTTCATTAAATAAAGATTGTATTTTGATATTTTAAGAAATATAATTTAATTTCATGTTCTTGTTTGTTTCTTGTATTTACAGTGCCTTGGTGACCTGAGACAAACCTCAGTCACTTTTAGTGCCAGATTAACTTTCTATTCTATTCTATTCTCTGGTCTTCTTCTATGGTTGTATGTTCAGGGTTCTCTTTGTTTCAGCACCTTTGTGTATTTTGCTCCATAACAACTCTCCCTTCACCACAGCATGATGCTGCCACCACCATTTTGGTCTTAACCAACCAGAGCACATCATCCCCATTTTTGCTGTCTCTTTCATTGTCTGTGTCAAAGCTGCAAATTTGTCGGTTATGTCTTTCTTCTTGCTACTATTTAGAGAACGTTAGATTATAGAGAAACAAACTATTAGTTACTATGTAGACAGATTCAAATTACTGAGCTCTAAATATCTGCAGCTCCTCCAGAGGTAACATCGGCCTTCTATGATCACGTTTCTGCTTTTCCACTCTGTCGGGCCAGAAGATGTAGGTTACCAGTAAATCTTAATGGTCATTTAAGTGGTTTTAGGGAATCAGAGCAAAGCAACATAAATAAATTTCACATTTTCTGTGACAAATTAAAAAAAAAAAATGTATATTTTCATTCAATTTTAAGATGATATACTCTTTTGTATTATATAGAATATATAATATATAAATATATATTTCAAAAACCTATATACTTATAATATTTAAGAGTCTGTACCATGAATAATAATACATTTTCAGCTTCAGCTGGAGAGGCTGACTAACGGCCATGCAAGCAGACATAATAGTCTCCAAAAGGCTTATAGTTTATTATTTAACATCAACATTCACTACATCTTTTTATGATTTCAAGCATTAGAACTTGGTATCTTTAACACCTTAAGAGCACAAGTAAACTTGATTGATCATAAACAGTTTCAAGCTTCATATTCTTTATAGATTTGCATTCTATATAAATTTTGCAATACATAAATAACAGTAACGTGTGCATTGATCTCATCTCACGATGCACATTTAGTAGATAAATACATGTGTAAAATGACACAATATAGAAATATAGCTGGATTTGTTCTGAAACAACAGAAAATACAGATTCCTTCCTCATAGTAACAAGAGTTCTTGCTCCCAAATTGCACATAAACCCTCTCTAGAATACATGACAAGTTCTGAAAAAAAAAACAGAGAGCTGAGCAGGCAGTGATTCACTCAACAGTTATCAGTGCGAACCATGGAAACATCATAGTCTTACAAAATAGATTCTTCTATTCAAGCACCTGTTTTGGGAAAACAGTTTAGGAAGCTATGAAACTTGCAGCCATGTACTAGCTTCTGTCAAAACATCTGGAATATCACAGCATGCAGTGACATGCTCTTTATATACGATATGAATAACAGTAAAAAAAAAAGGAAATAAAATAGTTTGGTTGCGTCCCTCTAAAAACTAGCTGGTACTGTCTCTCTGACCGCCTGCTTGGATGTAAACGTCTGCCTCTTGTCCTCAGGTGGCCCAGAGTAGAGCAGGTTTATTGTTAGACTTTCATTCAGTTTTCAGGATATGTGTTGATCTCTCCCCCCCCCCTTATATTTCCAAAACAAAGCTGCTCTGAGATCCGAGTCTGGCTGTAGGAGTGTAATCTGCTGCACTTGGAGAGAAAAGTCAAGCTGCATATACACTTTTGACCTCTGGCTCTGATTTATGACTCGGTTCTGCTATCTATAACTCCACCCTTCCATGCTCCGTTAATACCATGACATCATGTGCCAAGTCATGTGGCTGACATTAGCGCCCACTGGCCCTCAAAACATTGGCAACTCACTCTGGTATTAACAGACACTAAATTTACCTGACATTGGACAAGGTGGACGAGATCTTATGAAAACTAGAGATGTGCGATGAACGTGTGTGTGTTCATGATTTGCTGCATGGAGCAGAAGAAAAATAAAAGCTCTGGTGTAGAGTTTGATTGCTCATGTCTTGTGCCCAGTAACTTGCTTTATGGCACATTCGTAAGGCTTAAATAAGAACTACTATGTCACTACACATGCATGGATGCTGATCAAACCCCTTACAACACCTTTCCCAAGGCTTGTCTCACACGCCTCTATCATCTGTGTCATAACGGGGGGAGCGATCCCTGCACTACGTGGTCCGCTGTCTTCACAAACACGTCAGAGTTACATTAGAAACAAGAGTTTTAGTCGAGGATCGTAGTGCAGTGCGGGATGACGTAGTTTTAGTTGGGTTGGGACAGCCCCAACGCCGTCAGCAGGGCTGCAGCAAAGAGGGCCGAGCTGGCCAGGAGCACGGCTCCTCCTGAGCGGAACACCTGCCGGCCGTTCAGGGGCTGAACAGGCCGGAAATTGTCCACCATCGGCTTCCCGTCATGGAACTGGACCTTAGAGAAAGCTCTCAGCTGCAAGAGAGGATTAGAGTGAATGTTAGACAGCATACTGGGGGCAGAGTCGAGGTGTTCTTAAGCATCGTCCATTTCTCTAACCTGCTCCTTGCTCAAAGGGATGGGGTTCTCAAACACGGTCCAAACCACAGCCTCCGTACACCCCGGGGTGGTGAGGGAACCCTTATAACGGTAGAACGAGGTCATGTTGTGCTCAGGAGGAATCAGCTGTGCCAGAGAGATGGGGGGCAGAGAGGTGTTGCCATCTAAAAACACAAACACCACTTTGTTAGCTGCACAGCGAGGGAAAGCCAGGCTCTGGGATGCAGGCAGAACTTCAACACCTACTTGCTGCTTTGATGCTTTGCAGCGCATTGATGATGGAGTCATACTTCTTGTTTGTACTCTTGGACTCCTGTAAAAAAAAATTAAAAAAGAGAAATTTGTGAAGATTTTCTCTTAAAACAATAAGCAAACTGTATTTACTGGATTTAGAAAATAACATATTTACCTCATAGAAAAATCCAAGAACTGCCACGCCATTCTGATCTCTTAGTGCAGTTGTCAGATCGGCATACCGGCTCTTCATGTGAACGATGTGCAACTGGAAGACAAATTCTAGTTAAACGAGCTGCAGTGGATGTGGAGCTCATGGTTCTTACTAAAACCAGAGAGTCTGATGGCTGTTTGCGATGGTCTTCTACCTCCATGGGGTACTGCTCCCCGTCGATCGTGTGCTCGGAGCCAAGCCGTCCATCTTTTCCCCAGTGCAGATGAAACTGCACAGCCTTGTATGTGTCCGGTAGCCCTCCGCCCGAGATGGTTGCCGTGTGAGAAATTCCAACCTGGACTGGAATGGAAACGATGTGAGAACAAAGAGCTCACACAACCGCTTCAAAGCCTTCAGAGGTCATTTGATGTTGAGCTCACCTGAGTGACCGTTGTTTTTGATGGAGCTCCTGAACGTCTGCTGGTAGTTTTGGAACTGAAGGGGGATCAGAGTCTCATCTTTCACCGTCTTTCTGGTGACGATATTGATGGGTGACTGGAACTGTCCCCCACAGTCCTGGTTGGCATGGTTCCACTTTTCTGGCGCTGAAAGATGAAGACCACCAGTCATGACTGCTCAGCTGATTATGCTTCAACTCTGATAGATGTTGGAGCAGAATACGGTAAGATTCTATATGTACGGTTTGGAGTACCACAGGGATCTATAACTGATCCTCTACTATTTTCTGTTTAATAAGCAATAAATCGGTTTGACCCTTGTAGGCGAGTTCTCCAGAAAAATGCTTAAATGGGCAAAAGGTGTATACATGTTTATAAACAAATAAATCCTCATAACTGGTTTAGGTTACAGTGATTTCACTCCATTTTTCTTTAATCACCAAGATCTTTAATCATTTATATAGTTTACATGAAAAACTTTGTCGTTTTCTTTAGTTAGTGAAATTTCTGTAGCTGTTTGATTCAAAAGGAGTCCAAATTATCTTGATACAAAAAACCTCCAAAAAATGTACTTTAATATTGAAACTGATCAGTTTTAGAATTTTTTAAAACAGTCTTTCAAATGTTTAAGATGATATTCTGTATAGAAAGCCTTTCCTTTTAAATAACCTTCACTTATCTTAAGTGTTAATCAAGCCCCATGGTCTAAACAAAAACTCCCAGAAAATATATAGAATTTAGGGCTGCAAATAATGATATGATAATGTAATCTGTTGATTTTTTTTTATTTATAATTGGATAGCAAAAGCTTCCTTGAAGAATTTTTACCAAATTAAACAAGGTTAAACTAAAAATGTTCCAGTTGAGAAGCTCTGATGGAACATATTGACAGACACATTTTTTTTTTTTTCTTAAATGCAAAATGTTTTGGTTTTTTTTGCAGTTTTCAAATAATTCCTGCTCTAATTGGGTCGCTCTATCAGCTAAAAGCATGTTTTAGAGTCTCTATACTCCAGTTAATGATAAATCTATTACTAAATTAGAGGGTGATTATTTCAATAATTGATTAATCACTATAAATCCGATTGTAATGAAATATTTGTGTGTTTTATTTACTAAAATGCTACATGGATTCGTCACTTTAGTTTCTCTGTTGGAAAAACTCACCATTGCACTGATGGTCGCAGGTAAACTGGCTCTGGTAGCACCACTCTGAAACAGAAAGATTTATTTATTTAGAAAAAGTCTGCATTCAGCCAGAGCGTCAGTCTACTTCACCTCTGACTGACATCAACAAGCCGCAGCTTCCTGCCCGACCAGAGTAGGATGTTTTCTGTTGCTTTATCTTCTGGCAGCAGTTCAGGAAAACTTTGTGCACGTGTACAAATACAGATTGGATAAATACATATTGTTTCTGTGGTCGGATTCCCCCATTATTTACCCTTGGAAAAGTGAAAAAAAAAAGTCTCCTTATACCATCTCCTCCTCACCAAAAGCTGCTGCTGATGCTTTATCTTTCCAAGTTATCAGAATAAACAGTCAAACTTTCCCATCAGCAAAGCTCCCTCCCATGTTACTCAGGCTGTTTATTAATATTTTACAAACAGTTTGTATTTTTTCCTTCTAACTCTGAGACCAATATCTGCTGAAACTCACGAATCAAATATTTATATTGAAAGAAATATACATAAGCTTGAAGGAATATGGAGAGAGGCCCTGTTAAGGAGTTCTTTGTGTTTGTTTGAGCTCCACCCTTGGTTTTATTTATCGTTCTTGTGCTCTCTGACCTTTTACATGTATATATGCCCTGGTGGCGAAACAAAAGAATATCTTGAAAACTCAGAAATGTCTAATTACACTGTGTTTCATCAGCCTGGTTGCTAAACTGATTACAGGGCTGTAATTATTCCCAAACACTTTGCCCTGTAGGGTCCAACAGATGAATGTGGAAACATGGCAGCTGTGCAACATCAACTGCTATGCAGAGGTGGCATCAAAGACTTCATGCTCGTAGAGACGTTGCTGTTTATAGAACAAATTTGCCATAAAAATATAGTCCTTTCTCTCATGATAATGTCTGAGCGTTCCCTTTAGATGGACTTAATAGATGCTGGTTTGAGGAGACGGTAAAATAGCTTTATGAATGTCATTACTTCCAGCTTACTGACATTAAGACACATGCTCAGCATGATGCTACCAACACCATGCTTAACACTTGATGCAATGTTCTGTAGGTTTGAAAGCCTCACATGGACTTGAATCATTGTAGTTTAACACCTCAAATATTTGTCTCATCTGACCATCAGCTAAACATTTTATTAGTCAACCTTGATTTTATTGTCACTTCACTGCAGACACTGGTGCTGATGCATTATCCAGCTCATTATAGGCATATATTGAGGTTCTTCTGTTTTATTTTCCTTTACACTATTTAACTTCACCTGAAGGAGACAGCCGGGTCCAAACATCACCATAAACTGAAAAAGCTCAATCAAGAAAGGAGCTCATGTCAAAATTTTAACTTGCCTGAAATGTGCAACTATCCCTGTTTGAAACCAAATGTTTCCCTGGAGTATAGAAGAGGGAAAGGTTTGAAGAGTCATGGTGAAGCTTTAGAGCCTAAGAAAACCCAACCAGCCGTCTAGTTTGGTGCTTTTGGTACTAAAGTTCTACACAAATTAGATTTGAAAAGACTGACTGAGGACCACCAACTGTTTTACTTGATAAAACTGGATCACAGCTGGGTTCCTCTGACAGCAGAGCTCTTCCACACTGATGCAGCTCCTACTGAGGCTCCAGTCTTAATCTTGTTAGAAATGTTGGTTAATGCCAGTTAGAAAAAGAAAATGCTAACTAGATTTAAATAAACTTAAATTTTGAACACTTGTGGATTTGATAAGAGCCCACAATAAAAAGGACAAATATAAGGTGTACAATATAGGCTAGTGCTAGTTTTCTTTTAAGAACACAATAAAAGGGAGAAAATAAACTGCACAATGTATTGATCCTCAGAGTTTTTAGTTTTCATCTGTGTTCATCTAGTTTTTCACTTTTCAGTTCTAGTGTACTTCCTTTTCTGAACACCCGTTTTATCAGGAACTCTACTTTTAAAGAAGAAGTATTACACACTGCTGTTACTAATTTGTGCTTAAGCAATTTCTGAAGTACCCTAGAAACTTCTCCATTACAAAGTGTTTTTTTTTTTTTTTTTTACCATTTGCACTTGCTGGTCATCATCAGCCAATCAGAGGTGGATCCTCTTGGTGACCTTCAGGTTCTCTGTTCTTATTGCAAAGCAAAGTGGGTCTGAGTGGATCTGAGCCACTGAGCAGAGGGTTAGCACTGGTTCCAGTTGCTTCTCCAGGTGGCAGCTATGACCAACCTTATAAATCTGCTGCTCGAGTTATAAGATCATGCTTTTACTACCAGACTCTTCATATCCTTTTGTATGTGTCCTTCCCAGACTCTTTAATCAGAGAAATAGCTGAGAGACAAACTTTGGAATAGCTGCAGAACTTTAGAGCTCTGTGGAAAATCTGCTGCAAGGACAACTATGAGTCCCAAAGTCTGTTAATGTTGTCTTTTTTTGAAACAATGCAAGACAAAAAGTGACTGTTGAATAAAAATAGTTTACCTAGATCCATGTAGGGATTCAGCAAACAGAGGTAAATATTCTCGTTAGAGGAGATCAGAGTTACAGATGTTTACTTCTAAATGCAAAATGCTTTGGGGGGAAAAAAAAAGTCTGAACTTGGCATCATCTCATTGAAACATGGTAGTGGCAGCATCATGCTCAGTTGATTCTATTCTTTTGCTGTTAGACATTCCTTTAAGACCTACAGTCAAATTTATGGTGATGAATTTTAAGATTTATAGCGTTTACATTTTTATTGATGTTTGCAAACTTTAAGAGTTTTTTTCTGTATCATTTTTGTTCCAATGCTGGCTCAATAAGAAAAACGGTAATAATTATTAAAATTAATTAAATATCTGATTTTCATTATAAAAAGGGTTTCAATTTTAGAGCATCAGATGGTTGCTGCTGCAGAGGGACAGATGTAGAACCAAAAAACATTTTTCTGTCACCACATTTTGCTGTCATTGACAATCTGATCAGAATTTTACGCCCACATTGTAAATCCATTTTTTTTTTTTTTTTGTTGTTGTTGTTGTTGTTGTACCAAGTCTTTTCTCAGGAATTATATCTGAACAGAGGATATGAAATTCTTTAAAACAGATGATGCAGCATGACTGTTAAAGAACAGCTTCCTTTTTTCCCCTTTCACACTACAGTCCTAATCCCATCAGATAAATCAGGTGATGGATCGCTAATTAAACACTAAAGATCATCAATGATTCTTTATATGATCATTAAACATGTGGAGAAAGTTCCCTAAATATTTATATTTAGTCTTTACCTCTAGGCGGCAAAATCTGCTCCCTAAAGATGCTTTATTCTGCATTTAGCAGAATAAACCACAATAATTTTCCTCATTTATTCTACTGCACCTTTGTGTCTTTTGTCTCTCATAAATTTCCTATCTGCACTAATATGCACTATGTTTTTATAAAAATCTTAAAGGTTTCCCTTATTTTTCCGCTTTTCAACGCGCTCTGATTTGACAATTTTTCAGATAACATCTGAAACTTTGGCGCATTTTGTAAAACTGGAAAAAAGGAAACATTCCTAAAGCGGTGCGCCTTTTTTATTAGATGACACCGAACATGTAGGTCCTAAAAGATCCTCAGCTCTCTTTTTAAAATCTGGATTAAACTGGATGTTCTTGATGCGCAATGATGTCGCTCCGAACCATCCGCGCCTCATCTGGTGGTTCTTATAAAAAAAAAAGACCCTAAGGAAAAATAGAAAATAAAAAATCTATAGGCTATATATTTTATTTTTTTTTTTTGACTGCAAGAAAACCTCCTTAGCATCCGCCAGTGTTTACATGGAGACATGATCGTTGCGCACGACGCAGGTCTATGCGGCAAAACCCAGTCCTGGGTTCCTGCGCGGCGCGGAGCAGGTGCGCCACCACGGAGCGGAGGGTTTCCAGAGCGCAGGGGCTCTGATGGAATCACAGCCTGTGTCTCTGCCTCGGGTGGGGTGTGTGTGGGTGTGTGGGTGGGTGTGGGTGTGCTGCCCCCCTTGGCAGCTCGGTCACTCCTGGACGCGATAAGGTGTGAATGTTGGACGCGGGTCTGAGCGCAGCGGAGCGTTGATCTGAGTGATGGACAGGACAGGTGCGGCTGTCTGGCTCATTTAAGATCACCGCAAACGTCTCTCCTGTTTTTCTGGTTTTTTCCATCATCTTATTCCTAATTTTTTTTTTTGTGAATGAAAGAATATTTAAGCTTGGAACCAAACAAACTCTGTCCTACTGGCTTTAATCTGCAGATCATTATAGAGGATTTAAAAGTAACTATTACTGAGCAACCCCTTAAAAATCTTGTATAGCTAATATAAATATTAATTCAGAAAACCAGCTGTGACTCTTCTTATGAATGAATAAAATCAGGTGACCTACCTCCTGATCCGGTGCAGAGCGTCCAGAAAGATGCCAGGAAGGCGGGCAGGATGAGCAGCTGCTGCATGTTGGAGCCACTCTGAATGAACCGACACAAGGAGACACGGTGACTTGATTCCCTCCAATGTGATTGCATTCCTTCGGGGGGGTCCTTATACTTATCTATCACCATACACCCAAAAGAAAGGAAGGAGGCTTGGCCCCTCCCACTTTTTAGGGCATTGATTCTCTGCAGTGATCAAAACCCCAATAACAGGGTCCCCCATCAATGGACTCCCACTGAGAGGGGGGGAGGGAAGCTCAGCCCTTCATTATTGTCATGTTGATGATGATAAGCAGCTTCCTGATGGTATCAGATCAGACTTTAACATTTTCAACCTGAACCTACAGATTTTTTTGAGAAAAGTTGTTCAAATCTAAAAGATGTGAGTGGAGGCATTTTTAAAGCGTCACATGTGTTTCTTTAGGGAGGGTTACATCACTTAAACTACAACAGAACAGCTAAGCCTAATGAGTCCAGAGGCGGATCATGAAAATATAGGGCCTGAAGAGGAGTTTAATTTGGGATCCCGCTCTGAGTTTGACACCATTGATAATAAGAGTGGTTGAGTCTCCAAGCCTTAATATTCAAGTCTTCTTAAGTTTGACATTTTTTGGTATGAAAGTGATCCTGTTGGCTTGTACCGACTGATTTAGTATCAGATGTTTGCGTCACTATCAGCTCAGCTGACGTTAAAAGGCTCCAAACATAGTCTGATTTCTAAAGAACTTTCTGTACTTAAACTATCAATGTTCTCATATAGAACAGATTTTTTTTTTTTTACTTCCTCTGATGATCCAGCATTATTTATGTCAAACAGCATAATTTTATAATTCATGGCAGATTATAACCAAGGGGAAAAAAGCCACTTTGGAGAATTTAAGAGAGGTGAAGTGAGAAGAAATTATTTCTGATCTAATTACAATCAACATGACCTGATAGAAGATTTTCACCTGGATGACGACGTTTCACTGATTTGATTCTCACCGCTCACATGACGGCCTCGTTGGAAAACTTTCAGAAGTGTTAACGACCCAAATGATTCACAGGATGAGTGGATGGATATACAGCAACCTTAACACTCCCTGCTAGCCAAACACAGCTGTTTGCTTCCTTAAATTATCCCATTGAACATTCAATAAATCTCTAATTCTGCTTTTAAGGTTTTATTTTAAAACTTATGTTCATGATTGATTAAACTGACCCTGGGGTATGAGTTTTTTAGAGCTCCTACTGTGGCTTAGAGACTTCAAAACACTGCATTTATGCCTTGAACCAGCTCTGCTTGCATAGGTTTAAAATATGTGTTTAAAAATTAAGAAAATAGCTCTATAATAATTTTAAAAAAGGGATATTTTAAGTGTAGATGAACCAGTGTGCACCTGGTACTGTCAGAAAATGCAGCTAATGCAAAGGTTTGCAGAAATTTTAGCACCCCACCTGAACTTTTCCCCATCAGAGCTGTCACTTTTCATTTTCACTCACCTTATGGAGACCTAGATTAACATTGGTCTGAATTATTGATCACCCCGTGTTGACAGGCATCTGCTTTTGTCACACTTAAAAAAACAACAAAAAAACCCACTCAGAATGAATTGCTGGAACAGAGAAGGAAAAACCAAGGAAGCCTTGACCTCAAGTATTTTAAATTAATTTTATTTGGTGGCATGAAAACCCATTTTAACATCATCAAATATTTGTCAGATTTAGTTTCTGCTTTCCTCATAGGTCCCTAAAAGGAAATAACTTTCAAAGGAGGAAACTTTAGTCACTCAATACCAGAGAAAGGAGGGAAATTAAGAAATGTCTTACAGTAAATTTATCAACTCCACCCTGTTTGATTGGCTGAAGATGCTGAGCTTGTTGCAGGGGGGAACTTGTTAGCGCATTAACGCCATCTGGTGGAGAAACCCAAGATATGTCCTGTGTGCTGCAGACCTTCAGATGTTTCTCCTCCTGCAATTTAAGCTCATTAGCAGAGCTTGACTGCAGCTGATGAGGTCATTTAGCTGTTTGAATCAGGTGTGTTGGTAACTGACACATCTAAAAGGTTGGATCTTTATGGGGGAGGGCTGGCCTAGTGGGTTAGATATTTTGCACACAGAGTCCATGCAAAAAGAAATGTCGTCCTGTGCAGCTCTCAAGACATTTCCATTAAAGTACAGCAGTGATAAAATGTAAAAATAAGACTGGTGTATTATTCACAGTTCCCAACATTCAGTGCTTTTTTTTAAATTATTTTTAAAAACCCATTTTGTACAACATTCAGCAGTGTAATGGCAGTGGGGAAGAAACTGTTCTGGGATCTGCTGGACCGGCATCGGATGCTCTGGGAAGGTTGAAAGTACACGGTTTGATCCCTCACACTCAGTACACTCTGGGCTCCTGAGCAAGACCCTTAACCCCACACTGCTCCCCAGGTGCCGCACGATGGCAGCCCACTGCTCCGCAAAGGAATGCGTTAAATGCACACTGGAAAAACAATCTAGAAATTGGTAAAATGCCTTAAATTAAGTGTATTTACCCTTAATTTGAGTTGGTAAATAAGATGATCCGCCAATCGAATGAGTATTTTTACTCTTAAAATAAGATATTTAGATAAAATGCACTTGAAATAAGACAATGCAATTGTGTTTTCTTATTTTAAATGCAAATTGTCTTGTTCCATTGGCAAAAGGTCTGCTTTAAGGTCTGTTTTTCCTCCTTAATCCAAGAACAAAGGCACTTTTTTGGAGAAAAAATGACTTATCTAGATTTTATATTTTTTCCAGAGCAGAGTTAAATTTCTCCAGTGTGAGATCAATAAAGTTAAATTATTATTATTATGGAACAGAGGCATGAAGGAATATATATAAAGTTATTGGAAGATGGATGCAGGAAAACATAGGGTAGTGTTGCTACTGTGAAACACTCAATAAATGGGATGGATGCTCACCTTCCAAGTAATGTTTTTCAATATTCTCCTTTTTAATTTAGTAATTATGTAGACTACTTTGTGTTGTTCAACCAAAAATGAGTTGGTCTGTGAAATTTTATTTCTGAAAGGATTTACAACAAGCCCATCTGATCAAAGTTTTGTACCCAATTAAAACAACTTAAACTACATATAGGAGTAATCCAGTTCTTATTTGAAAAAGGACCTTAATTAATGCGTCAGAGGTGGGGGGGTGGAACCGGCCTGGCTTTGAACAGGAGCTGCGTTCTGATGGATATCATTTCCACTAATGGTCGCTGGCCTCATGTGTTATTTAATACTAACTATTTTTAACTCTCGTTTTTCTGGCTGATGCCACAGTTGTCATTTGTGGTGATTTCCTTTATTAATACATCTGTGAAAGCACTGAGCAGCTGCAGTGTAAAGGGCCGTGCATCGTTTGGTCATTTAATTATCCTTTTAGAAAGAGAAAAAACAAGAAGAGGCTATTTGATTTTTGTTTTAAGATACAAAAACTGAATTAAATTCTCACTTTTTGTGTAAAAACTTGAATAACAATTTTATTTTCCATTTTGATTAAAAAAACAGGAAGTAGTTTTAAACAAAAAGGCCTGTTTTTTCTACATTGGATGAGGTTATTTATTGTAAAAGAGCAACACCTCTGACAGGGGGAAATTGCTCCTTTAATCCTGAATATAATAACTTTAGAGTCTAACTTGGTTAGGCTTTTTAAGGCAAAATAAGGGCTGTCATCTACTAAAAGCTCAGCAAAGTTTCACAAGAGGGAAAAATGATATTAAATTAATAAAGGATCTCTAGTTGAATAGAACATCATCAGGAGTCAGGACTCCAAAGCAATTCTCAGTACCACCTTCTCCCATTGATATCCATTGATGGTGGTGAGCTACACTGTAGCCACAGCTGACCTGGGGCACGCCAGAAGAAACAAGGCTGCAATACAAACCGCACTAAAAGTAGGTAAGGACGAAAAGCATCTTGGCCAAACTTGAAATGGTTTGAGCAAGGGCTTAAACAAAGAAACCTCCAACTAATGGGCAACAACACCTGTTTGCAGAACATCTTTCTCACCAACTTCTCACATCAGCACTCTGTTAAATTTGGTGCTCTTGTGAAATAAGTGAAAACATTCCAGGGATCTTCCAAAAAAAGTTAGCTTTTTCCCATTCAAAGACTGTTATTCTGAGGGTGTCTTTCCCAAAATTCAGTGCAATATCCGGGTCCCAGAGTTCCATGTAAAATAAATAAAAATTTTAAAAAGGCCAATTTTTTCTTAATATTAATATAATTTATTAGCTGTGGTTAATTTATTAACTCAGAATATACTTTCTAAATTTCGCCCATCCCTTTTTGACAAAGAAACTGCATATCAATTTCTTTCGATTTTTACAAATGAAAAAAAAAATTAAACACTTTTAGTTTTTTATTGGTGTCCGTTACCAAAACAGAAATGACAAAGATTAACTAAGCTATAATTTCAGGCGGTTACAGTTTACCACACTGCAGCGTTCAGCTGTTCTCGTCTCCATTTCCTCCGTCAGACGTTGCTAAGCCCATCGGAGCAGGAAGCTTTTACCTGCTTAACTGTTGAAAGATGCATTTTTTCACACCATCTTTACTGCCAGACTGCTCTGGATCTTTCTGATTGTTTTAAGCTCGTCACTGGGAGACCCCTTGTTAAAAAAAACGAAACCAAAAAGAAACATCTTGATGTAAATGTTCTGTTTAGCTTTGGACCTGATTGTAATTTGCCTTTTATTTCCAGTATTTTATTTATTTATTTATTTTTTTACAATAACGTTGCCATATCGTCTCAGTTTTGAATTCAAACACTGCATTATTGTTTTACTTAGGACTGAAACAGTCAGATTGTGAAAATCGAACTAAGACTATAGACTACTATGGAGACTGTAAAACATGAATTTAGCTGACAGTGACCCACTTAGAGCAGTAATTATACCAAGATTCTAAAAAACAGATTAACATTTTGCAATATGTTCAATCCAGAACACCCAAAGTAGAAAAGTTTTATTTTAACTTGGTTTAATTTCGTAAAAAAATCTTCTTTTGGCTGTCCGGTCATTAATAGAAAAAAATCGTCAGATAAATCGATTTGCAAATAGTCGTTATTTGCAGCCCTAATTTTAAACACTTTAAAAAAATGCCTTTAAGTAGATGC